TGGCTACATGATGAACAACCAACTTGGCAACAATCCACTCCATTATTAGTAACGAATCATTTATAAAATCAGTCAAGACAGACTAATAGCAGGGAACAGGGGACCTTGGCAGCGTACAATTCTCCAGCAAGCAATCTGATTTCAGAATGATTAAGGTATAATGGAGAAATCAGGGACAAAGCTAATGATAACATCTACTGCTGCAGTGACTTAAATTGTGCTATGTGAATTGATTTTTGTACGGACAAAATTGAGATCTTGTTTGTGCAGTCGACTGGAATTAATCTGATCCCACACTGATCAAGGTGGCATAACTAGCCTGCTTTGCTCATTTTTTTTTTTCAGTCAAGTGTGAGCAAAGGGAAAAAAAGCAGACTGCTACTTAGTCGTAGACAAACAGGAAGATTGAGAGCACGGTACATGTATGTACATGTATAATGGGTGAGAATTGGCCTTTCTGTACCACAAAGATTCAGGTTGTAGTACAGTGGTTTCAAAATAAGCAGATCTTGAAAACTGACACCAAGTACAATCACCGGATGCTATACTTCTCTCAAACTTGACTGGACAAGATAGTGTTCATCATCAGCAGCTGGATGCAGACAAAAACTTATGATTCATCTGTCCTAACCTCCATATGACCCAAGCGCGGATTACAAGAACAGCTGTAGCACTTCAAAATGAAGAAGAGTCACCTCTTGTCTTACCCCTCCCCTCCCTCACAATGCAGACGGTGACAAATCCTTGGGCCAGGAAGGTTCAAGGCACCAATCTTGCCAAGTGTGTGCCAAACTTGTTCATGGGGACACGTGTATTGATCATCCTCTTCAAAAGCTCATAGAAAATCTGTAAATTTACGTGAATGATTTGATGTGTAGTCTTCCCTTTGCGACTCCTTAATTAATTTCATACAAAGAGAATAAAAGAAATGGAACGTGCTAAGAATTTCGTCTTTGATGTGCCAGGGTAGGGCATTACATATTACAGAGTTAACGGACAACCCAAATGCCTCAGAATCTGAGATCTTCACTCTGCACACAAGATTAAACCAGAAAGTCACTCACCAAGCCCTCTCAGTCCTAAAAACATCATCCAGAAGGGAATACAAAATGCTCCTATTCAAAGGAAATCCTGACTACATTGTTTAACGTACGCATCTTTTTTAGACTTTGGTTATCACATCATCGAGCATGAGGGTTGCTTGATGGTAATCCTGTAAAGGTCAAGTAGCCTGCTGTTGGTGGTACATACTGTACCTCCACAGTTGTTCTTGGCATGAAAGTGAATGGAACTGCCCATCTGTGACTTCACAGCAAATGTTTGCAATGTAAATTTGCAATAGTTGGACATTTATCTTAATTTTGGCATGAGTGCGCTGCTTCATGGAGTGAAAGTCGCATTTGTAAAGGTACAAATGAACCGAGGCCTAGCATGAAACATTGACAATACCTCCTCTAATTCTCCCACATCTTTGCCCCCTTGGTAACCGTATCTGGAGCAACAAGCAAGGATTTGTGTAACAGTGACCTTCGTCTGTAATCCATTAAGAATCTAGCAAACCAGTGACGACCATAGATAATCCAGGGGGTTGACCTTTCAGATTTAACTTGAACAGGCTGGACATGTGGTGACCTGAGGGCCACATTGAGCAAAAGATCTCCTTGAGCTTTGACTGGAATCATACTAAATCCCTCTTCATGTCAGTGTCTCATGTTGAATTTCAAGATGCTTCAGCAGGACACTAACATCACTGTGACCTAGTGTGAAGTAACCATTTTTGTCCACAGTTATGGAAATTCCTAATATAACCAAGCTGGCATCAAAATCTGAAGCCGATTCAGTTGAATTTCAAGGTTGTAATATTTCCCGTTATCCTTTTGAGTCTTTTTTTTTCATGACAGAAACCAAGGAATTGGACAAATCAATCATCAAAATAACACCAAATATGTTTCAAGGAGTCATGTCCCATTCTGCTTTTAGAAGTTCACTCTCTAGGGGGGAATTAGGCCTACACATCTCGTCTCCGTGCAACAGCTGTTCGGAATTTTTTTCCACATACACGTACATTTATTTGTGTGGTGTACATGTACTTATACATGTAGGCCTACATGTACTACTGGTGGGTCATTGTGTCCATTTCCGACACCAATTACTGTCTACTACCTCTATTTCTGACTCAGTCTCCACCAGCTTTTTTTGTTGGTCTTTGTGGCAGACCTGGTTCACGTACATGTACAGTATTCTTGCAACGAAATGTGGTCCCAGGTACCGGTACTGTAGGCTGCATAGATCTATGCTTACTTGTGATCCAAGCAAGTCTAAGTACGAGCAAGGCATAATCACAATGTGTACCAGTAGGTCTACATGTAGCTACATGTATACACCAATAAGATCTCATCAACTAGGCCCGTGTTCATGTCTACCCCATAAGGACAGGTCATCAGTCTAAACTAACACGGTTTTCACATTTGCACAAAATTCAAGGAAAAGTCCAAATAACGAGTTTATGCAAAACCAAACCAATCAAACTGTCGTGTGCGCCTGTATATGCCCAGTCCAGTATTCACCACAAAGAAAATTCCTGGGAATATCGCTGCCCAATAATGACTTACATGTATGTACATGTATAATGTAAAATATTGGTAAAACGTGTTAACTTTGTGCATGGATGGAAGAGAGATGACTACCTGGAATCCTGGCCGGTGTCTGACAACCCTTGTTCACAAACTGGTTTGTGCATTTATGGCACAGAGTGGATTATACAGTCCATTTTCATCATAAACACCTGTGCACAAAGCCGAGTGAATGTTGGGTGTACAGTGGCAATTGCTCTTAATTTATGACCTCATCTCTCTAAAATTCTTCATACCACTTTTCATCTCAGGGTCAAAAAGCACTTATCCCTGGCATCCAGATAAAACCAACTCCACTTATCTTGCACCTCTTAAAATTTTTCCGTGTTCATCCTTCACATCAATGGTACTTTAATTTGGGAATTCTTCATTGGTTGCTAGGCAGGCAGCATTAAAACACTACTCCCGAAAGCATGTGAAAGTCAACGACACGGCATGACCAAAGTGGTCCAACAAAATAAAAACCAAGTTCAATTGCATGTGTACTCAATATAAATAGGCTACCTTCTGCCAAATCTTTTCGTGCATGATCATGGCTAGAATTGGAATGGATTGCATAACAAAATCTGAACGCTCCATCTCTCTTCCCACCCCTGTCCCCACCCCTGTCCCCACCCAGCAGTTTACCAGTGCCATAAAATACATGTGTATCACATGTACGTGTACAGTAACTTGGAGTCAACTGTACCTAGCTAGCCCCTTTCATTCCAGTTCTCAATCATGCATGTTAAGTGCTAGTGGGCCCATGCCAATCAAAATGATTCACACCCTATCTCATTTGGAGGATTTGTTTATACTGTCAACATCTGAAGGGGGGGGGATGAACAGATCAATCAACATGTCACACTTGATACTGCTGTGGAGTTTTTTTTTACTGCACCTGGAGTCAATTCAATGTAGCTTGGCCACTAATTGTTCCAGCCATAAGAATGGCTTTTTCCTCCTGCATAACTAAAGGTACACGTATTGCTATTAAATACATACATGTACCTCAACAGCACATTTTGTTAAGTCTTTGATATTAGCTGTTCATTATATTGCCCTTTTCCCTTCAAGTGAACACTCTACAAGTAATGTTTCTGGTGGGCATAGTGTTTGGGGTTTTGCAGATATTTGATCAGCAATGGGCTCACCACCAAACCCTGAAACCACAACTACTCCATGGGTCTTTAATCCAAGTCCCTGGAATTTCATCTCCCAACAATTGTGGTCAGCTTTTTTGTGTGGTGATAAGCTTCACTAGTTGGTTGAATCAATTAGCCCATAAAATCCAGCTAATTGGGCCCAGGTACTGGTCGGTGATTTTACAGCATATAACTGTCTTTAATTTAGTGACATTAAGCAGTTAATGCCCCTGGCTGGTGACTCTCCAAGACTCTACTGAGTCAGTCTGGTCCACCATTTTCAATGCATGACTGAAAACTGCATCTCTACTGAAAAAAAAAAATGCAGCCATGCACTTGCTAATGATATCTGGTAAAAAGTGGACAAGAGGAAAGGAAACCTTAGCCCAAATCTTCTATCAGCTCAGTTTACTACGCCAGCCTTGCCATGACCACAGAGCCTGGTGTGCTTACATTCAACAGTTGCAACATGACAATACAAACAACCTGATTCACTGCCACTCCGCCTACCAAAACAAATCTATTAGGTAGAAACTGTCAACATGCCCAACAAAAGCCCTGCACAGGCAAGCTGAGCTTTTTAAGACTACAAAAGGCCTGTGAAAATATTGGCAGTGCAGTCTGGGGCTAGCACTCAGGAAAGTGACTTGACAATTTTTGACCAGTTTGTGGAAAAAAAAATAGAATGAAGGAGCGAAATGTGTTTGAGTATACAAAAGAAATACAGCCAATAAAAGCCACGTGCGTACAGTGTGAGATCCCACTGACTAAAGATTAAGGGCTTGAATTAATTTTTAGACCACTGTGTGTACAAATATAACAGTATAGACTAACACAATAACCTACTATTGTGTTAGCTCCAATTATTGCTATACATGTACATACATCTCTGGTCCTTGCCCCTTGACAGTTAGATCATTGTTATAGATCATACTTATCAAGATGGGATCTATTGGTGTGCGCTTTTCTGAAATTCTGGATGCATGCGCACAGACAAGTGTGTCCTGGTGTGGACTGTGTTTCAATGACTTGATGAAATTTTTAAAGAATCTCTAGAGTTAACTTTAAGTTCAACTGAACCAAAATGTTGAATCAGAGAGAAAAAAAAGACGGTTGTCACTTGTTTTGGCAGCAATTTCAGATTAAAGAAAAAAATTATGGAGAAAACTTACGAACACAATATTAAATTTCACAAAAATTGGGTGCATCAGAAGAAAACTGAAATCTCCTTTTAAAAACTTACCAAAAGAGTGCATCCCAGCCAGAAGACCAGTCTGACTTGAACTAACATCTGGAGACCCATAATGAAGGCCAGGCAAATCCTCCCCAACTCCCAAGAAATTTAAATTCCAACAGAAATGGTATGGCTGCTCCTCATTTGGAAACAAGAAAAGCACTGGTGAAACACATGGACCTGATTTTGTCCAGAATGAGAAACAGATGCTTGCTAGATTAATCAGAAGCAACCGGGACAGTTTTTCTTGAGTTTGAGAGAGAAACAGAGACAAGAACGGACAACCCCACGTTAACGAAAAGTGTACTTGTGCAGAATCAAGCACTAATATCCATGCAGGTTTGTGTTAGGCAGAGAAATCTTTGGTTAGCAAGAGAAATCCTTGGGATCGCTTCCTGCACTGTCAGTGGAGGTACATGTATGTTTCCAATCATGGCAGCATAGTGCCATTCAATGTTATCCTACAGTCACTCATGCATAATTCCATGCAGGTTCTCCTTGCTCAGTAACTGGAGAATTTTTTGTCCACACTCAGGTAAATTCCTCAGATTCTGGGAGGCGGCGTCGTTGTGCAAAGCCCCGCTTGAGTGCAGTCCAATCTTTGTTCTGAACGCTACCTGCTGGTTGAGAATGATCATTCTCTAGATTCTCCGCAGCCTGATACCAACTCAACCATGCGTGGACAAAGTTGCACGCACGTGCTGAAAACTGAAAGCCATCTCTCTGTTGTGCATGTGGTGAAGTCAAGAGCTGGTTGGCAGACCCAAACCAACAGCCAGCCACTCAGAGAGCAGAGCCTTAATATCAACTCCCCCTGGCCTGCAGTGATTCACTCACCCAGCTTCATTATGCAACAGCCACTGACTGCACAGCTGCCTTATGGTGTTGATGATAGCACTGGCCACACTAGCCAGCCCTGCTACACAGTACATGTACACGTGTGCTGAACTCCCACTCATTTTGTGACCAGTCACCCCTGTACGCCCACTGCATACTGCATGTGTACATGGCCAAGCCTCACAATCAAGCCAAGATCCTGATAGGGATTGTTGCCTGACAGCTTTATGGACCCACAAGTTTTGTTCCTTCATGGGTCTAGTGTGCCTGTGAGGGGGGGGGACTCACCAAAAGGGATGGGGTCAATGCCTTAATCTTGCCCCTCCCTTCTGGTGCAAGTTTCTGGTCTCACCTACAGGTACATGTAGCTGTTTCCCTTGGGCATGCCTCTTGAAAATTAATGTAGATTCTAGCTTGTTACCTGGCACATTAGTGTCATATTAGTCATGCAAACCCCTAGATACCTGTCTCCACAGGGACTTACTTGTACTTTCTCACACTACAGGCATCATTTGACAACACATTTTCAAGCAAGTACAGTATGGAAATTTAAAAAGTCATTTTCAACTTCCTTCTTTTTTGGGGGGGGGCTTCATCTATTGCCTCTTCCTTTCCTGCCTGTTGACATTACCAGGATTGTTGATCCCATTGAAAAGAACACCCACGCCAAAATACGAGACCCACTTTCACAGCCAGCTTGGGATGACCTTTTCAACAAACCATCCTTTCATCCTCCTGAGCCTCATTTCAGGTATAATTTCCCCAGCCCCAGTTTTCAATCCGTTGCTAAAAATGAGCATTGAAACTTAAAGGGATGATAGTGTACGCATGTAATTCCCATTGAGATATTTTTCGATGGTGACGGCAAAGACCAGAGAAAAAACAGAGATAACAACTACAAATGTTGGTACATATCGGTAATTTGGGGTACAGAGTGGCAGATTGCACTTGGACAGCAACTTCAAAAGCAAAGTCCAATGGTAGGCCTAGAGGCAAAATTGGTTAAATGGGATAAAAATTCAAGTTTGCAACAGACGACTAAACCCTGGCCACTCATTTGTATTAATGTCATAGCAATTAAATGCCTGCATTATCATCATGAATGGCAGTATTAACACTACGCTTGAGTAAAACTTCCAATGGAGTAGCAATTTTGCTCCCTGTGAAACCACATTTGCCAACAGCGTGGAACTTTTTCTGTTTTAATTTAACCACAAAGGTACATTTGTAAAATGCCACATGAATTCATTTGCTTTCTCTGTAAAAATTAAAGCAGTAGAATGAAGACAGAGATAGATTTACGAACTGGCTTGAATGCAGTGTTTACCAAGAATTTATGAATCCTGCTCATTCATGTCTGTAAAGGAAAATGTCAACAATTAAACTGTCCGGGAAGGTGCACTGCCATGTTGCACATCCATAGAAATGGCAGTGTTGTCTAGCGCTGGGGGAAATGTCGCCAAGCAATATACACAAATAGCCTGCATTGCAGACTTTATAGCTTCTCTTCACACAACTCTTACAAAAAGTCTCCTTTTGTGGGATGTCACTTTATGTCTTGCATGGTGACTGCACACCCTTAGGTTAGTGTCTACTTTTCTCTCCTCATCCGAGGACACTGTGAATTCATCAGCCAAAAATCACCCCTCAAAAAGAAAGGACAAGACAGTTCTTTTTTTTCCTTTCTATATTTGGGTAGAGCTTCCTGGAAAGCAATTATAATGGGAATCTCCATTGGGATTTAAAGCAAACCTGTTGTGCAGTTGAATGTATGAGTGAAAGCTAAAAGTACATGTAACAATCATGCAAGCTAATTTTCTGTAGAACTTTTTAACCTTGCTCCCTGGTTTTACATCAGGGCATTTGTTCAAGCCAACTGTATTTATGCTACAAGTACCTGTGCTGCTAAGAATTGTTTTTGAAGGGCTGGGGGTAATTTCTTTTATTTTGGGGGCTAAAAGGGCTTGCATTTGATAAGATATTTGAGCACTGGCGACTAAAAAACCTACCTCCAGGAAAACATAAAGCTCTCATCCCATATAGTATCTCCACCCATACAACCAGACCGGGTGGAATTTAGTGTAGAATAATTTACAATGATGGGTTCACCTGCTTCCTGTGTGGCACTGCATGGGGGGGGGTAGTGCTAAGCACAGGGCAGCCCAAAAAGAGGGGGGAAATTTTTAGACCCTGCTCTGGCTATATTCAAGCAGACAATCAAGTTAAAGTGATGCTGGCAGGAATTGATTGATGCTTTGGGCAGTTCATTTGACCATCTTGACCCCTGCAAGCCTATAATATGGGTCATTTTCTTTCCTGCTGGTCATTTTTGAGGGGGGAACTTTGGTGCATGTAAGAGCATGCTTGGGAGATATGAACTACAGTTGAAAAGTACATACCGTACCGGTAGTTGAAGCTCAAGCCCACAACCCAGGCTTGTCCCTCCCAAGCAACAATTTCAGGCTCACTAGCAGGCGATCTTCGCTCCAGGCTGTTCTCTAATTTTCTATCCCTTCTGATTGCAAGGATTTGTCTTGAACCCTTGGCCTTGTCAGAACCACAGCTGGAACCTACTTGTACCTCGTTGTACCGGTACCTTGCTCTATATAGTTTTGCCACAAGGATCACATAAAGTGCACCACAGAGGTTGCAAACCAACTTTACCTCAAGTTGGGAAAAGATAGCCAAATCTTGGTTGGAGCATACTTCCGCATAAACCAGCCTTTAAAATAAAAATACCCATAATCCTGAATTTCCCCACAAAAATTGTATACTGTATTAATGTTGAAAATTTCTGAGGTCAGGGCAGATGGAAGGGGTGGTGAACGTTGAGCAGCACCCACAGGTTTGTTAACAACTTTATCTGATGCTTCCAGAGGGTACAGATTTCAGCTCCCCTTATGATTAAATTTCAGGCTGACTCCCGTCCAGGTATGGCAGGGACAGTGCCAATTATATACACCTGACATCTGAAGATGTGCTCTAACACTTCCAGTACGGCTACAATACCAGTACAAGTGTACAGCATTCAGTAAATGTAACCTCCAGAACCAACATTCTTATGGGTACATCCTCACAGCCTTGGGTGCCCTCCAACCTACCGGTATACTGGTTGGTCAGGGGTATATGAGAAATTGATTGACTATCCAAGAAATCTTACTGTAGCTTTACCACGCATTTAACTCTAAAAGTCCCCAATCCTCCAATTTTAATAGGAATAGGGGAATTCAGTTTCGTTTCTGTGGCCCTCAACTTGTTAAAGTACATGTACCAATAGGGTCAGTCGTAAATCCAAAAATTAATATACCGGTGCAGGTACCTTGAGAACTTCATTTTTGTCTTATTCTCACAGGTTTCTCTATGCATAGAAGCTGGAGTGCCACACTTTGGAAACCAACCACAACTTACAAAGGAGATTGTGTTCAACATGCCATTAGTATTCAGTTTACATCTTGGCAGACCATCGGGTCAGAAATGTTTAAGGCCGGTGCAATTGCTCAACCTGCTTTTAGTCGGGGTTGGGGGCAAACGTTTCCTCAACTTAACTGAAAGGTTCCAGTCAAAAGACAAGTCCACCCACGGTCCTTGACCCTAGAGGACCTTGGTCAGACCTCCCCTTATGACATCAACAGCTTGTCACAGTCTCAGAGTAAATTCGAGTCCATTTGACGGGCTCATCAAACATTTCATGCCAAACTCCAAATGGCCCCTGCAAGAGAAACATCCGGTTTGCAAAAATCCACTAAAAGCCAAGAAACTAGGCTGATGTTTTGACTGTCTTTGCCCGCTGACACAGTCAGAGCTGCAACTGAGGCCTTTGGGCTTTGGATATGTGACAACTTTACGAACCTAAATGATGAAAGTCCAAGTAATTAGGCTGCAGAGGTTGGTGCATGTACCTTTAATATACGATGGTGATGTACAATATTTACGGTCACATCTTTAGTTTAAGCAGCTTGATAAAAAGAAACAGCTTCAAAACAGACCAAAAGTGTTACCTCAGTCTAAAAGCTTGTTTTGTCACAATTGGTGATGACTTTCTTGCCTTTTCTATTGAAATTGAAACCTTGATGTACTTGTACTGTAATAATGTACATGTACTTGGGTGTGTCAAAACTGTGTCATATATTCCTGTACAACAAAAATAGATCTCCTTGAACTGTACTCAGATTTAAAAGTCTAGAACCCTCAGTGATTCTGGTACACAGCTGCTATTAGCGGCAGTACAACTGTAGATATTTCGTTTATAAATAATAAAGGAGTTCATTGGTCGAAGTTTAAATGAAGAGATGTATTTAATTGAAAATGATCAGCTTTTGGGGAGTCCTATTACCAAATGATTACATTGCCTGAGCTGTCCAGATCATGACAAAATCAGCAAAATCTGACGAAAACAAAGAAAAAAAACAGACGAACTCGGCCACAAAGAAGACAACTCTGTACAGAAAAAACTCTGTACACGATGTGTGTATATAGCTGTATCCGGCACGCTTCACTGTGTGTGCGCAGTATGCTGCTGTAATGTATGGAGGGAGCTGGAGACTGGGATCCATACAACCATTTTTGCGTGCCTGCTATCGATCTCTGTGTAGGCAGTAGTCTGGTTCATAGTTTTAGCGTGGTCGCGGTCAATCTACATTGTATGGTAACTGTTCCCATTGGACTATTTTTTGCACCCCTGCTAACTTACCATGGCTGCGTGGAAATCTTCCGCTACCCTTTTCGGCCTCTTAGTTTTACATCGCGATCGTAAGTTGACAGGGACATTAGTTTACTGTGTGTTCCCATTGGATTTAATTTTGTAATTCTACAGGAAAGTCGCGGTAAATTACCCCCAAAAAGTCCAATGGCAACACATCTATTGAGGGACATGTAAGAGTGGGCCAATCATGCATGGCCTGTTTGGAAAAGAAAGTTGGGAAAGTGTGCAAAAAAGTGGCATCAGGAAAACCTCAGACTTACATGTACATAAAGTCTATCTTATCATGTTTAA